TGGTCATGTACTTCCTTGGCATGCTGTGGCTGTGTGCACCCTGGTGTGAAATGAGCCGTCCCCGCCCAGATCTGCAACCCTCCGACGTGTCGAAGCCTCAGCCAAATCCCTCTATCCGTCGCCTTTTTCCGCATCACCTTCCAGCGAGCAGCATTGAAAGTAATACCCGTACCTCGCCAAACATCAGCATGTCGGTGTTGCAAAGTCGTCCAAGTTCCATGGAAAGCCGTCTGCCATCCCGGCGTATCCCTGCACATTTCCTGAAAGGAGAGCAAGGCATCTTTCGGCAGCTGAGCCATCACATCAGCCACCACCTGGGGGTAGTCGGTAGCCGCAATGCCCCCTAAGTTCCAAGCTGTGAACGGAATAGCCGCTTGTGGCGCAGGCACCGACGGGGGTCCCTGTACTGGACCCCTACCAGCATCTGCTCGCAATGAAAAGGAGTCATGCACAGCGCAGGCGTGAGGGGCCTCCGCTCTATTAGCAAGGTCCCGCACCCCGAGCTCAATTCTGCCAAGCTCGTCCATGGCCAGCTCCGTGGTTCAGCGCTTATGCTCCCCAAACCCTGCCTTAGGGTCCACCATCGAGATCCCCGAGAACTTGGCGATCGCCCCAAGGTCCACCCACGGCCGAGTCCCTGGCTTCTCGTCATCCCACAGCATTGCTTCACCTTCGGTCCCCTGCGGTGGCGCACGAGCAACACTAGCCACGACCTTGTCTCCCAGCCAGATGGTCCCCGTGCCGTACTCCGCGTCAATGTGTTGCAAGAGTTCCTTGTTGAAGCTCGCCAGGGTACGTTTGGTCCAGGAGCAGTGGCCGGCCACATCGCGCTGCTGCTTGGTCTTCGAGTACGTGGCCCACATCCTGCGCTGGTGCGAGGTGAAAGGCTTAGCAGCGGCCACCCCTGACACGATCTCGTGCATCCTCCTTCTGCAATCTGTCTCCGACTCTCCAGGCCTAAGCGCAAAGTTCATGAGGGCCACACTTCTTCTGGGTCCAGTCGTGAAGGCGGCAGTATCGGTGAACTTAGAGAGCCCCAGCTTAGCGAGAGCTTCCTCAACCTCAGCCACAATCGTCTGCCTGGGCGTATCCATCTCCCATCCCCCGAAGACTAAGGTGGTGCGTCTGCGCGCCCCGTCTCCCATGTCCGGGCCACGGCCGGCAGTACTGTCCCCTTCCATCTTGGCGACCCTGTCTTCCATCGCCTGCATCCTCTGTGTCATAGCCTGCATGGTGTGGTCTACCTGTTGCAGCTTGAGGTCCACCTTCTTGTCGAGGGACTGCACCAGGGCGACAGTTTGGTCCTTAGTTTCGCGGACGATCGCCTCCTTCTGTTCACTGAGCAGCTGTTTGAGCACTTGCCAATCGAAGCCATCCGGTGGTGCCTTGTTCTTCTTTCCGCGCCCAGAGGGCCCCTCTGCTCCACCTGCCCCGCTGCGTCGCCGCTTCGGACTGGAGTCCTCCCCCGAAGTCTCGGGCACTCCGGGCACCATCGGCCCCCCTCCGCCGCCAGGCAGGCCAGGGGGCCCCCCTCTGCGGGTCTGCCCCAACTGCAAGGGCCCGGACATCAGCCGTCGGAGTAATCCCGGATCGTGTAGTCGAGGGCCCTCCGAGCTGCGAGCTCCCGCCGACCGTACCCTAGCACTGCAGAATCACCGCGAACACAAAGAACAGCCGCACGCAATGGGTTTAGGGTTTAGGGTTTAGGGTTTCGGTACTTTAAGGCCTAAGTATCTACTATATGGGCACATGGAGCCTTAGGGACATTCAAACCTCTACATCATACTTGGTGGGATCACATCCAGGCTGGTCAGCGTTTTGCGAAATGGTCCAACCGGCTTAATGATTCAGCAATGTTCAGCATGTCTGCTACACAAATTTCATATCACGCATGCGTGCAGGCGGCTAAGCAACTGAAGCATACCAAAGCTGCGCTGCCAACTCCTCACTCTGCACGCCAACCACCCGAAACGAATTCTGAACCCGGAGCTTTCGACCAGAAACCCACACAACCTGAAACAGCATAAATCCAAACGCCGCGTAGCAAAAACAACCCTATGACACCCTGCTACGAACCTAGTAAGACTCCTCTGACGCCCTACACCCTAACCCAAACCCGATGAAGCCCTAAACCCGACACCTAAATCCTACGAAGCCGTCAGCCCTAAACCTAAACCTAAACCTATGAAGCCCTATAGCGTTACGAAACCCACACTCGAGACTTCGGCGGAGCTCTTCCCTGTATTAGGGTAGCCCACGACACCGACGGACACGTGCGCCTTGGCTGAGCAAGGACTTGGTGTCCAGCAGTACATCCATGTTCTCCAAGTTAGGCCATATACTGAAGGTTGTAATATATATATATATATACACACACACATATCGCTATAGTTTCGTTCATGTCCCCATATGTATGTATATATTAACAGATTTCGGCTAAAACAAATGCTATTTAGTACTACTGGTTGAGGATCATGTATTTGCATTGCTATAACCTAAAAAGACGAAATCAAGCAACATGCAACTGACATAGGTCTAGACTGTCAGATTGCCACGGCAACATGATTGAGGTCCTAAACCCTAAACCGTTTTAGCGGCAACACTCAGAGGCTTCTGGAACAAGTATGCGCAACTCGAAACACGTCCGTGGCAACAGTCGATGCTGAGGCAACTAGTTAGGTTACGGCCGGCTCATGTGAATTTCGGCTCAAAAGCACATGCAAATCTCCAATCTCTTCAACGACCCAGGGTTGCGTGGGGGTTTGGGGTTTATTGTTTTGGGATTTGAAGATTCGGGTATCGGGCTTATTAAACCCTAAACCCTAAAGGGTTTAGGGTTTCGGGTTTTATAGGGTCCGGGGTTGGGGCTTCGATCATCGACGCTTGCAGCCATGGCACCTTCATCTTCGTGCCGCCTCAGCAGTTCACGCAAGGGTCTGCAACCCTACCTGGACCCCAAAGAGCCGACCTTTTTAGGGTTCCTTATTATGATTTCTTTATAATACATCCTTAAAAAGGTTTTAGGGTTCCTTATTATGATCTCCTTATAAGAGGTCCTTAAAAGGGTAGGAAATTTAGGGTGAATTAAGGTAAACCCCAAGCAAAGTGTCAGATCGGAACTCTCGGACTGGTGGTAACAAGTTGATCTGAAGCTCCCCGGTTTAGGGTTTAGGGTTTAGGGTTTAGGGACTTGATCTGAAGCTCCCCTCTTCGTCGATTGCTCAAGGATCAATAGCAAGGCACAAACAGGTCATGGGCTTCATAGGGCTCCTTTAAAAAGGGTTCCCTGAAGGGATCTATAAGGGCTACTAGAAGGGCTTAGGGTTTAGACTTTAGGGACCTTGATAACTAAACTAGGGTTTTGGGGCCCACTGTACTATAGTTTTAATAAAGACAAATAGTATTGGTAATTATTTAAAGCCCCTACATTACATCTACAGTGCCTACAGGCAGTGCTAGGCAGGGAAGCCGTTGCAAGGCTCAACGCTACGTCGATCCTAGACATTTCCCAGAGAGGGACGTGTCACCTCGCAAACAGACAGAAACCCTAAACCCTAAACCCTAAACCCCTAAACCCCTAAACCCTATACCCGAAAGCACTGAGAAAATATTATGAAGATTCCAGTAGCAATACTAACAACATGGCACAGAATATTCATCGCATTAATCGTATTAGCAAAGAAACATATGAGCAGTATTGATCGCATTAATAACAAATAAGACTAATAGTATATTCGAACAGATAGTAATAGTCGCAACAACAGTGTTCCTAGTGTTACACCAACATTACGAACACTACTACTACCACTATGCTTATCAATACCATAAATTACAACTAAACCCTCAACCCTAAACTGTATTTCATGAACCTTCCAGTCTAAATGCTCAAGGTCCCAGAATTCATGCAATCTCGCACCTTGTCTGGAGTAGTTCTTCAAAAGCTGCATGAGCTCATCAGCACCTACCTCAGAGTAGGATTTAGGGTTTAGGCTTTCGGGGTTTCCAACGACCTGATGTCAAGCGTGGGTTTGTGAAACTATCGGCCGCCGACAACTTCATACCTGCTTGGTGTGGCTGAAAATCAGAAGAACAAATTCACGTCAAATAGGACAACCGCATAAACTCCACGCTTTGCAGCTGAAGTTTGACGCTGTATACTCACTCCGACATATGCATCACGTCGAAACACAAAAACATCGACATTGGTTGGCACGCTGGCACCATACATGACGCACGTAAGACTTATCATCGGCACCCTGCGGTGCAGTAAGGACTTCGGAGCATCGTGTGCCATAAGCGTTGAGTGCCATAAGCGTTGAGCAGTGGATTGCAACTCCCTGACGTTCGAGGGCGAAGCGAAAATCTTATTCTTTCAGCAACGCATGCTGAAACTGCCCTCTCCAGAACCTCCTGCATGTGCTGATGCCTGCAGCCGTAACCTTCATCAACTCTACAGCAATACCGTGTTAACCGGTGTGCACTCGCCTGAAGCCCGGTGTCGACCAGAACACCACCCCNNAAAAAAAAAACAACAAATACGCTACCCCGATCTAGCTGTTAACCCGACAAACTTTGGAATCGGACTGGGTATGGTCTCTTATACCTCAAAGGAACACAACTATACTAATGATCCCGAGCTCGCCTAAAGGTTCTTCCCCTTAACTCTAAACCCTAAACCGCTTGCAAAACATGTACATGATCCGCTTAGAACCGTTATAAACGATGCTACAACAACCCGTACAAACTACTCTTAAGACTGACAACCCCAAGCTCGACACTCTTTCCATA